ATCGACTAGCGATTATCACGATGTCGACAGTTCATGCTTCGCTCCGCAGATTAGTAATGAGAGGGAGCATGGTTATAGTTCCAGTTGTTCCTCAGCCATACTGAATTTACCGGGGCTTATGGAAACGCACATACTAAGCGGATGGAATGCGGAAGCGCAGAGACGCCTATCAGAAGTTGCATTGCACATGGCCAATGTGTCAGATAGACGAAGTAAAATGTTAAACCCAACAGGAATGGTACGTCAGTGTATCAGTATATTACATCGGAAAGGAATCGATGCATAGCGACAATCGTTTTATGAGCACCAAATGGCTACACCCGGAGACGTACGATGCAGATCGTTATCCAATAGCTTATGGCCACAGTAGAGTATACATGGGTATGTATAAACGGTTGAGTACGTGGACATTTGCAAAGCAATGAGAACACTGTTGGAAAGTTACATGTTTGACAGTGGGCAGCGGGACTTGTCAATATCAAAGCTTGCGCTTCAATCGTTCTTTGAGAATGTGCACGTACAACGGGCAGCAGATGACCGGACCGATGGGCGACACGAAGAGCCAGAAGTGGACACTCCATCACGTTCGCATGCTGTGCGATCACCCCGATCAGCTACGCAAAACAGGCTGTACATATAGACGGCAACACCTAAGTGCAGACTATTTTACTGTACCATTGATTTATTTATCCTTCTACCTAGCAGTTGCTTCACTATTGCTATATCGGGTTCCTTGAAATATGGATACCCAAGATTTAAGGCTGTCACGTCTAAATGTTAAAGGAAACATCAACAGTTCGTATTGAGTACTTATTCTCATGCCTGTGAAAGTTGTTGTTAGTCTGACCTCCATACGAAACCCATACACCTTCGTCGTACCATTGATCATGAGACCTAATGTGTCTCTGTTCAGTTTGTAACAGATCACACTTAAGTTTGGCTAAACGCGTGTGCATGTGTTGTATTCAAACTGCCATTAGATACAGATAACCTCAATTCATGTATATATGTATACCGAATGAATTCGACGAGGATACTCATACCGCTTTTGTACGGCCAACTTAGTGCAGGGAAGCGACACTAGGGCAAACCGAAAATAACATTACCAGAACATGATGGTGAGTTTATGACAAAATAATGTTGACTTCAGGCGTTATGAATCCAAAGCAAATTTTGATCGATGCGAATTCCGTGGACATCTCAAAAGGGCGGTTGCTCAGGTGCAGGAGAAGGCACTATTGCACGCGGAATAGAAGCACCGTGCGTACGCTCCCATTCGAATTACTAATCCAGGCTAATAAGGCGGCGTATGTGGTACGTTTGTCGGCGTGATGAGTAGTCTTGCATTTCAGAAGTAGATGTTGCTTGAGCTTCCTGCTGTGGATGCGCTTGGTTTGAATGTTGACAAGGTGCCTACCTGTCTATTACCCACTACCTCGCCCATACTGGCTCCAGAAGACATTTGGTCGTCGCTGGAGGGTACGGGCTGCGCTGTCATCGTGACGGTACTAGGCTCAAAGAGTTGTTCCATCCTGTGTGGAACGGGCTACGGTTCACCACCGCCATGTGTACGTCTGGTGTGCATGATTTCCCAATTTGGCCGGAATACTTCTGTTCTGCATGTTAAAGATCTGTGGGCTGGCTCCGTTGATGAAACGTGGCTCCCATCCGCATGCCTTCCGGTCTTATTCCTTTGGGTTTACACCGGATATGGAGTGTGTGGGTAGTGCAGCGCAAGACACCCATGGCCCTCTATAGGCGCAGGCGTCTTGTGACTGTCCCTATGGAGGTCACAGTGACAGGAAAATCCGGATACGGATATATATATATATATATATATATATATATATATATATATATATATATATATATATATATAACAGTTTGTCGCACATGAAAGCGATATTAATAATATTCTATATGTCACTTGGACACTGTTATTCTGTCTTCGTCAAAGGGCTGATAAGCGTGAGCATCTCTGTTTAACACCACTGGAATTATTGAAGGGCGGTTATTTTTTACGATAACCTCCAATAACGTTTACTTATTTCTCGGACACACCACTCTTGATCATCCTGTTTCAAAGAGCACATCAATCCACGAAATCGAAGAAACCTTTGGTGTCGAATAACACGGGAAGGCTCAAGCAGTAGCATCCAAACCCCTATCCACCCTGCTCGATGGAACAGATAGGGCACCGTTGATTATCCTCTGCGGTGGCAGTGCATTAAGAAACTGAAGTGAAATTCATTGTATTGCGTGGGCATGATACTGTCAGGTTGCCCAGGCCTAGACAGGAGAACGGTTAGAGTTCTCAACCAAAGCCTTTGGTTCAAAAACCTGACCGCAAGGCAGCAGGTTTGGCCTTGGCGATCGATATCTGCTGCTTATCGGAGACCCGCCTGCAAGACTCGAGCTCTGTGCTCACTTTGCGATCCCCTTCAGGTGACACCAGCAGCACTTTCTCCTTGCGCCTATCCGGTGACGATGCAGCTTCGAGCGCCGGCCAAGCCGGTGTTCGTATCGCCCTGAGTACCTGGGCTGAAGCTGCTCTGGATGATTGGATTCCAATCAGTAGCCGGTTGTGTGCGGTCCGATTGGCTGGCTCGTTCAAAGCTTCGAAGTCGCGCGTGACTAACGGGTGTCTATTCGTCATCGCTGCCTATGCACCCATAAACTCTAGCGATGATTCGGTAAAAGACGACTTCTATCGCCAATTGAACGAACTCCTTCGCCACAGAAGGATCTTGGACACTATAGTGCTGTCGGGTGATCTGAACGCTCAAGTTGGAAAGTTGTCCACTGATGAACTGCGTCTGGGCGGTCAGCACGGTGTAGGACCCCGTAATGATAACGGTGAGCGGTTACTTCATTTGTGTGAAGATGCTCGCTTATTTCTTGCGAGCACTGATTTCCGACACAGCACCCGCCGGAGGGTGACTTGGCGCCCACCAGCCTCGAATCAGCTATGGACGCAAATCGATCGCATTGCGATAAGTTACCGATGGAGAGGCTGCGTCCCGAACTGTCGCTCGATTTTGAGCACAGGTGTGGACACCGACCATGCAGTTGTATGTGCTGACCTGCGGATGCGTTTTGGCAGACCCCCAGGACGACGTTGTGAGCGCATTGACACCAGCCAACTGGCGAAGCCAGCTGTTCTGAATGCCAATCAAGGTATGCTGTCATGCGAGTTGAGTAAGCGCTCACTGGATGCAGTTGAAGCTCACTGATCTCATATTCACCAAACCTTACTAGCAGTAGGAAAATCCTCATGTGGTAAGTCTAATCGCCAATATGGACATTGGTTCTCTTCACAGTCTCTGGAACTTATTGATACTCGCCGGCATATTCCGGCTGGAAGCGAACACAGTGAAACTCGCAAAGAGCTCCGGACAAAACTCCGTGCTGGCCTGAAGAGAGACCGCGAATTCTGGTGGTTTCATAGCGCATCGGAGACGGAAATGGTCGCTGCCCTTGGTAACCATCGTAAATTATTCCGTCTGATACGGGAAACGGGCAGCAGTTACCTGGTGTTAGTGAAACAATTTGTGACGAGAGTGGACAGCCTATTCACAACTTGTCGAAACGTTTGGAGCGTTTGACTGAGCACTGAAAGACAATTTAATCGGTCGGGATTGTTAGATTTCTCGTTGACCACTGATCGGCTCGCTCCTTGGACTGTCCCTTTGGACCCACTTTCTCGCTCAGAAGTCGAACATGAGATCGGACTGTTGAAGTTAAATAAAGCCGCTGGACCAGATGATCTTCCTCCACACTTCTTCGAATTCGGGGGAGCTGCTCTTGTGGATGATTTATACGAGTTACTAGTGAAACTTTGGAAGTAGGAAACTCTCCCAACCGACTGAAGCCGCCCTGTCGTAGTCCCAATTTTCAAGGGAGGCTCGCGATCAGAATGCGGCAACCATAGACGAATCAATCTGATCTCTTTCGTCTCCAAATTTCTTTTTCCTGTCATCCTTCACTGACTGACTGGCACTTGTGCAAGCCATATTCGTGTAGGGTTTCGTCGAGGTCGTGGCTGCATTGACCACATCTTCACTTTGCGTCAGTTGTTGGAGCGATGTCACATACATTAGCGGCCCACCGTTGTCGTGTTCCTCTGTATCGAAGGTGTATTCGATTCGGTGGATAGACGTGCACTTTGGGACTGTCTACTCAGGAAGGGTGTACCTGAGAAATATGTAAATATTATCCAAGCATTATATTTGCGTAGCACGGGCAGAGTGAGGACTTATGGTAAGCTGTCGTCGTCCTTTATAATCTCCAGCGGTGTAAGACAAGGTTGTCCGCTGTCGCCTTTCCTCTACAACTTCGCTATTGACTATATCATGGAAATTGCGTTTACAGGACACGACTTAGAAGGTGTGGATCCGCTCCCAGGAGAACGACTTCACGCTCTGAACTGGTAGTACACGGGGTCGATGTCGATGCGCATGCTGTTCGAATTATTAGAGGAGTACCATGCTTCTAGAAATTCTTTTCTTTTCTGTGTCCTTGTTTGAGCTAGAATCTCCGTTTTGTTCCAATTGAAGCCATGTCCATCCTCATCCACATGCGCTAAGACAAGAGACGATGCATAATGTTTTTTACAAGGCCTCTGATGTTCTTGTATTCTTGTGGATTGTACACTGCATATCACTGCACTGAAGATGCCAACTCGTATGGGGGTGAAACGTATGCAATCCCTTTATCAACCTCGGAGAAACGGTCAACTGGTGAACAGTAGTAGTACTATGCACTTTGAGGGTACGTATGATTGGGAACTTAGCTTGCTCTCTAGGAACACAAGTAATTGTATTTTGTCTCAGTTTTGAGAGCAGAAGCTCCCTAGCCTCATCACTTTTCCATAAGCTGCATTCTTTGTCTCAATGAGAAAACTGGTAAGCTGTTTACAACTCGCCCCAGTAACGAGCCTTCCAGTGTTCCCATTCAGTAGCTAACTGACCGACTTTCGTTTAACCTTTTGCTTTATTTAGCTGAGGGTTCGCAGAGAGGAGGAGCGCATCAAAGCCGAGAAGCTAGCGGAAGAATGTGCACAGCTGGAAAGGTTACGAGAAGAACGTATGGCACAAGAGGAAGCAAAGAAAAAGCTTGATGATGAAGACCGCGATGTGCCCGAGGAAAATGTACAACATGTACTAGAAGAGGAGAAAAGCACTCAAGATACAGGGATACCTGCAGCATCCGCGCCTGTGGATGGTGACACTGCTTTTGTCGAGAAGCCGATCGCGGATTATGTTGAGCAGATCCCCGCCTCGCCTCTCGACGAGCCTCCTCTTCACGGGTTGTCAGATGACACGTACCCGGATCCACACAGTGTTGAGAACCTATCCAGTGACGATTCCTCCCATCCTACTGACCCGCCAGCTGAAGATCCCTTACGTATGTATTTTCTTCCTCCCCCACTATCCGCCTTCAGCTCTGTCTTTTTGTTTTTCAATTAACTACACTTCTTGAATTCATATATTTGACCTACATCTAATATTTCGGTTTACTCTGATGCTCCATCATTGATTTACTACACTGTCATCAGTCAAGTACTGTCTTGCTCGCCACACCCAATTTGTCATGCCACTGTGATAGCGAATGCTGAAAGGATTCGGTGGGGGCATACTCGTGGGTTCTTTCGTGCGCTACAGCCCCCTTCCTATCTGTGTCACGGGTCATTCATATCGGGTTGATCGTACATTGGAGCTCAGCTCTAGTGACACGTACTGCAGATCCGAACACTGCCTACACTGTATTGTTTGGAAAGAGTATATCCGAAACTCCACTTCGGATACGGCCCTAGATCTCGAACCAGCAGTTTGCTTCAAAACAAACTCTCGTCTCAGTCGAGATTGCGTGTTGCTATCCAGACACACATCAGCTATTCCATTACTCTGTAATCAAATTAATGATTTACTTACCGGAGCCAAATGGGCTGGACGACTTCACTACTGTTGCCATCTAGTCGACCTGTCAGAATCTCGTTCACTTTCAGATAAACCGCACCACTCATGTACTATGCACATATGGTGATTAGCCCACCTCCCTCGACTGATTCAATCACTTTCTTCACCTTTATCGTCATTCTACATGTTTCGATCGGTTTCGTCTCTGCCAGCGATTCGTGATCTGTGGTACGCACATATTGCGCAAATTTGTAGCACCTCTAGCAGAATGCCCATTTATTACGTCAAGTTCAGAAAGAGAAACAAACCACGAAGCTTTAAGCGAACAATTGTTTTAGATTAATTCTTCGTCTGGCTCATACATTAATATACATTAGCGTAGGGTCTGTTGCAATCGTCAGCATAACAAAGAAACTATTGGTCAGAAAATTTAACTTGTGATCATGATGGCAGTCATCTGATCGCATGACTGAAATCAGGTGGGATTGCGGAGTGCCATCACTTCCTTCCCGTCTGGTGGTCGGCCACGGAAGTTCTAGTGTTTGCACCATCTTCTGGACACACAAGTCCGGGTTTGTCACGCGTATGCATACTGTCTCAACGGTGGCAAATGGGCTTGATCTTATACGATGGTTATGCCTTGCTGGTACTCTGTAGAGAATCTGAAAGACTGTTTATTTGTTTGTCTGGTGGCCGGTATTGATTAGATGCTTCGTAATCGCGCTGTACTTTGTATTATTCTCGCGATTGTAGAGCCAACCAGGGAGATGTTCCTTAATTCTCCTACCTAAATGCCTTTTCCTCGACGATTTTCAGATTCCTCTTAAACCTACCATCTCACCTCTGATTCTTCCGCATTTGGTAGGGCCATTGTGCTTGCATAATGATAATGGACCACAATACACAGTGCCCGTTTACTGCTACTTTAGTTGCTACCGACGGTGATGATCATATTCATATACCTGTGCTAAACTACTCTTCCGCCCGGTTACTTAGTCTCGATCACCGCACTTTTGCCTCAATACTGTCGCTGCTTATCTTTTTCCAACGGCTCCGGGTCATTTTTGATTTCTGATTCCACCTACATTCAGTTTGTCAGGGTATCACTTAATCGATGTGACTTCAGCTTGGTTTGCGATGTTCCAGGTCATCTTTTTTATCTCCTTTGAACGAATCTGTTCACAATACAGTTTTCATCATCTCCATATCACCACACGCGCTGTGTTGTGTATCGCTTTTCTTCTCTCGCTCCAATTCATTACTTTTATTCAACTATTTTCTTCCAGTTAAAGCTTGCGAAAAACTTAAGTGAGTTACTCCTAACACAGTCTGCTTGGTTTTTGTCCAATAACACCAGTAGATTTTCTCTGCTCTTCCATGCATCACTAATCACGTAGCTCCACGTCCTAGGTCTCAATAATGGCGAATCGGCTGTCATGTCAACCATTGAAATGCAATCGACTCAAAATCCAACTAAATACCCCAGATGTGTCGGTATTTACTGTCCCGATCCTATTCATACGAACCCGCTGACCTCTAAGCGCTGGTTTCCTACGCACGTGTTGGTTGAACGAATTCGGGTTAATTACGGCCGACGAGTATTAACCACTAAGTGACGACCCCACAAGCAAAACGAAACGCCAAGATCTCACAGCTGAGCACTGAATCTGTGAGAAAGATAGACGAGAAGGCGAACGGTCAGCGAGAGCGGTTTAACTAACATCCAAAGGCAAACACAGGTTTTGCACCTGCGTATTTATAGCAAAGTTTATCTGGGAATGCGAAACTCGGCTAACGCAATAACATGGCTTAGATGCTGCCAGCTGTGCGGCATAGTAGCAAAATGTTCATGCTAGGGGCATGAGAGTTCCAGTAATGGCATTAGTAATATTAGTCCTTTATTGCTTGCATCACTCGTTCACTTGAGATCATCTCAGTCTACATCATTTCGAACCTTCGCAGTTACCGCTTTCCCGGAGTAGCTGCATAATGGGCTAACGATGCGTGCCTGGCGACTGTCTTATTGTTGTAAGTTTTTAGCGCTTTAAATTCTGCTAGTTCGTGCCCCTTTCCCCGTTTACCGGAACGTATGCGCAGTCTTTCAGAGCAAGAAACTGAGCACACAATAGCCCTACCGAACTCTAACCAACCGCCTGCTTCATCCGCTAATCCATAAACGTTAGTAACCAAGAGTTGCATCGCGCAGGGTTCGAAACTTGATACATATGTGTACGGTTTTTGCCAACTTGTTGGTTAATTACTCACAGCCACCTCGACACAGGGAGACTGGACCGTAACGTGGTGTGCTTTTCTCCATCAATGCAGGCACAACCGCTGCCGCTGGTATGTTGTCAGCACCTCACCCTAGGTACACTGCCTGGCCACTCAAATGCAATGCCGTGACAGCTGTTTTCCGGTCGGCCATGGTCGCAGACGTGTTGCTTCTTACCATAGATAACCTGCTTGAAATATTTGACCGTAATGGAACTTTGTAGCCCTCCTAAAATGCGCTAATCCGTTCCATTATATTTCTAATTAATCAATTGAGTCAAACTGTGCAGTCCGGGATTTCTATCCGCCAACAGCACGTTGGCAACCAGTTGTCCAGCTTGTAAGCATATCGCTTTCCTCGCGTCAGCAGCACTTTACTTCAACACATTTGTCAGCGCCACTTTACATGGCATCCACTGTGAGAAACCGTTCTGTGTCCAAATTGACCACTTTTTCCATAGTTTCAAATGGTGCTGCAGTGTTACTAGTCACTGTAGAAGTCTCTTCAGATTTAGGGTTATCAAATTTCACCGAAGATTGACTGACGTTGTGCGAGTCACCTTGACATTGCCACTAAGTTGCCCGCAAGCATCATGCTACCTCAGCTCATCTGATGTAATAAACGGTCTCTGTTTCTGACATTGTTCCATCGAGTCCACATAATTTGTATTCCAGATGCACTGGAAGCAGAGTAGGAGCTAGTATTCAACGCGGTGCCATCCAATGGCTCTCCATCACAATTCGAAAGACACTAGTGTGACGATTAACCGAGATGGAACGAGCACGTTACAAGGGGACCGTTTTTTCCTGAGCTGCCGTACAAGATGACTGCATCATGAAACTCACTGAAAGAGACGCATTTCAGTGGAATTAAGATAATTTCTGATTATGGTGTTTTGTGAATGCATCGATGCCAAAGCGTTGCATGTTCCGTTGTTTATACAAATTTGTATGTAGCTGTACAAGCAGCTATATTGGGCGTACTGTCGAAATCTGGGTATCGGAATCGAACTGCAAACCTCCAGCTTCTTCGAGAAAGAAAGACGATAAGTCAAACTGCTCCAAAAATCACAAGGCATTTTCCCTGAGGGTTGGTCACCAGATTAACTTTGATTCGCCACTCGCGATTCTCATATGCAAATGCCGCACACTCTCGAGCTAACTAAAGCCGCTGGTATTAATTAAAAGCTGTCGCTATTCTGCATACAGTAGCAACTTGTGGTGACTTTGGACCTAACGCTGTAACACAAAGCGGGCCTGGCCCCTAATTGATTCAAGGTGAACATTCTCTGTCGAACTGATTTCATGTATGTGATTACGGATGGTCCATAAAATTCCAGTATCATCTCATAACCCACATTTTCCGACATTCTTTTTGGCGTTACGTCGGTAAAACGTTGGTTGCATTCTAGCTCGACGGTAGGTTATACATAATAATCATGTTATTATCACAACCATCATGTAGTTTCACCATAATGAATTCTCTAGCGGTGTCACTTAAACGGGCTACCTACGGTGATCATCCCCTTATGCTAGTACGCCCCAGCTACTGTGCTGTTACCTATACTTAAGAGTTGTGCCACATAGATTTTAACCTCCCAATGTAGCCACTCTCTGGATTCCTTGCTACTGTACTACATTTGGGTTACTTCATAGACGTCTTAATTCTGTGTTTGTCCTCAACCTTACGATCGAAAATATGCATGGGCAACTCTGCTCGAAGGCAGTCATTGCATGTTGTACGCACTAAGTAACAACGTTCTCGATTAATTTTGGGTAGAATTGTTCATCTCTGGTGGGACCATAAAATCCGGCAGTTAGTGTTTGGTGACAAACCTTCGGTGCACCATTTGACCTCTAACTATCCTTTTGCTCAGGTTGGCTTGGTTATATTTCCTCCAATACCATTTGATGGTTTGCATCAACGTGCCGCGTTCCACAGCTATGCGTCTGTTTCAGTAAGTCCTCAGGATTGTCAACCGATGGTATGACGAAGTGGTGTTATGAATGAGACAAGCTAGGTTAAACCATCAAACTAGATACTACGCGCATCGCTATCTTTCGGAGGGAGGCTTCTCAAGACTACTTATGGAGAAGGAAGGCTATTGGCTTCTCGAGAAAACTTAGTGTACCTAAACCGGTGTTGCCGCCTCTCTCGGAAATTTGACCACGGGGTGGCGACGCTATTACGGAGGCCGCTCGCCTGTTACCACTGGTGTCTACTCTCCCTCATGTTCAAGGGGACTACCATCATATACCATTTAAACGTGGCGACAAGACCCATCTTTATGAAGGACCAATTAGCTGACTTGCGCTGATCTCTAAACAGTTCGTTGTTCCTTGCTCATACATCCATCATTTAACAAAAAGTACACCGCAAATAATTCAAAAGCAAGAATACGACGTTAGACATTATATTATACGTTTTGGATGTGATAGGGGTTGGAGGGGAATTCTAAAGGTGAGGAGTGGAGAATGGAACTCACAACACGAACGCCATTGGGGTTTGCTCTTCGCCATACCAGCAACTGTGTCCAACCAAACGTGTTCATCGTCCTTGGGACCTCAGCCTGGCAGTCGTGATGCACCAACCGACACCATTTTCGCTGTGTGGGTTTTCATTTCTCTCGACCCAGTCATTGTTTTATCTCCCCTCATCCTCTTCCAACCGCACTCTTTGCGCACAAACAACGCACATCGCGGGAGTCCGTGTGCTGGTATGCGCAACACGTGGCCGAGCCATCGGAGCCTGGTGCGTGATATAATGATGCTGAACAGTTCTCTCGCTCTTCCTGCACCAAATTCGCGACACCGAACACATTCATCGCTCACACAGTGCTCCCATCAGATATGAGCTAAGCTGTGAAAGCAGCGATGCTCGAGCGTGACGAGCCTCTTTATGTCTGTCAGCCTGATGGGCCAGGTTTCACAACCGTTTAGGAGAGTTGAAGAGACGGCTGCATTATAAGCTCTGCCTTTCAGGACTGGTGATGTAGCGTCGACGCCATAGGTGGCGGAGATTGGCAAAACTGAGTCGAGAGTTTGCCATGCGGTTCGTGGCATCATCTCCGATCCCACAGGCGCTAATATAACTGCCCAGGTACTTGAATTCCTGAACGACTTCAAGCTGATCCTCACCAAGTGTCAACACAAAAGTTGTATGCCTACCAATCTTGCAGCAAAGCATAGCCCAAAACATTTGACAACCAGTGATAATCGGTCCAGTGCAGCCTGACGCGTTTGGGCGCTATCACATATAAGGGCAGTGTCGTCCGCCTACTCCAAGTCAAGAAGTCGCTCACCAGAAAGTAGCTCCGCACCTTCTAGGTCGTGTCCTGCGAATGTTGTTTCCATGACTTCGTCAACTGCGAAGTTAAATAGGAAAGGTGACAACGGGCAAACTTATCACACACCGCTGGTTATATTGAAGGGCGACGACAGTTTGCCATAAACCCCACTCTGTCCCAACTATGCGCGTACAGGGCCCTGGTAATGTTTACGTATTTCTCGTACACACTAGTACTCCGCAGACAGTTCCTAAGGGCATATCATTTCACTAAATCGAAGGTACCTTTTATATCGAGAAACAAGACTACCGTTGGGTCGCCATTACACGTGACCGTGCTCCGACAATTGACGCAAAGTGCAGATGTGTTCGGTGCAACCCGGATCTCGACGAAAGTCAGCTTGCTGTTCACGAATCTGGCTTTCACGAGTGCCGGTCAGTCTGTGGAGCATGACACGCAAGCAATTTATAGGCATTTGAGATCATACTGATCCCTCCATGATTGCCGCATTCCGAATGGGAGTCTCCCTTAAATATTTGGACCATGACAGAACGGCTCCAGTCTGTCGGGACAGTTTCCTGTTCCCAAAGTTTCACTAGCAACTTGTGTAAACTATCGACAACTGGTTCCACGAATTTGAAGTGGGCTGGGGGAATTTGATCTGCCCCTGCGGCCTTATGCAATCTCAACCGCCTGATCTCACACTCGACTTCCGCGCGTGATTGCGGATCCAAACAGACGGCACAGGGA